CCCCGGCGGGGTGGAGGTCGGGGTGATGTCAGCGCCGCTTCACTTAAAGGTTGCCAAGGTTGAGAAACACTGTTCGAATTGTGCTCACACAACCCATTAAGTCAGGCAGAGGTGGGGGGGAACATACACTAATCCCGTTCAGTATGTGACCTAAACTCCCTATATTGCATATAATGTGGGGATGTGAAATGCCCCAAACCATTTTGCACCCTTTGAACAAACGAGTTCTGCTCCTCCAGCAGAGCAAAACGTTGAAAATCTCAGCCAGTTTCATTTGAAACCCTCGGCTTTTCAAATCCTCGGGTTCATACCTGGCACCAAGCTCTTCTCGTTCACCGCTTTTTATCTCTGGGCTGAGCCGCGTTGAGCCACAAACCATTATCTGTCCTTAATGGCTGGGTTAAACTGAAACTGAAACATAGCTTGTGGGTGGCATCCCAGGTTTTTTGGTGTTTTTTTTTTCTGAGCCCGTTTTCCAGCTGTTATTAGTCAACTGGTGGTGCCGCAGGGCTCGATTTGATGGGGGTTGAGTTTTAAAATCAAGGAAGATAAGGGGGGGGGTCTTTTCCCACCCCACCTCCAAAAACGGGAGCAAATTTGCCAGCCTATCGAGTCACAGAATCTTCCTGCAGCTCAAACTGGGGGGCGGGGCTTGTTGTGGGCACGAGGTGCCCTGCGGGGTCTGCTAGCTGGCATGTGGCAAGCCAGGATGGGCGCTAAGAAAGGTTGCTCTTGAAGAGGGTTGATTCCAAAAGTGGGTTTGCACCGCCCGATGGGCTGAAATGGGAGAATCCAGCTGTTACTCGCTTGGAATGCATAGATAAGATTATCACATCTTGCATGACCCCCTAATATTCTTCGCCCTTTAGGGGGGAGCATGTTGGTTTGCTTCTTAGGGTTTGGGGCTACTTGGACATGGCAAATTGTCCAGATACCATGGTCTGAGCAAAATCAAGAGACATTCACACCACTGGTGCCCTAGAGCAGTGTTTTGCAGCCTTAGCAACTTTAAGATGCATGGACTTCAACTCCCAGAATCCCCCAGCCAGCATGGCTG